GTTTCTCTTTTTTGGTTGCTGAGTAATATTCCATTGTATATATGTACCACATCTTTTTCATCCAGTCATCTACTTTTGGGCTAAATGCCACCATTTATTAAGTGTCTACTGAGTGCCAGGCCCTTTGTGTAGATGACCTCATAATTCTAACGGCAACAGGGTAAAGATCATGATTCTGATTTTACAGCTTAGGAAACTGAGGCTCAGGGAGATTAAGAAATTCCCTAAAACCATTTATTAATTGATGATGGGTGGCCAAATAAATGTGTGCCTTTGAATCCTTTTCATAGATAGCCTAGATGAGTAGGATCTGGGGTTCCTTCCCTCCAGGACCCCCCACTGTGTCCCTCCCCCCCACAGTTGGCAACTTCTGGAGGCGTATTTGGCTGGAAGCTGTGTATTGCATCTGGAAGCTGTGTATTGGCGTCTGCTAAACGTCGTACAGCGTGCAGGATCTCACCCTCTTCCCCCCAAATGTCACCCAGCCCCGACAGCGAGGCTGAGAAGGCAGGCTTCTGCACCCTTAGGTGCTCATAGATCCCTCCTCCTTCAGGTTTGGACCACGCCGCATCCGGGAGGAGTCAGTGATGATTCGGAGGGTCAACCCCAGCACAGGGGCTGTCCCTTTCCAGTCGCTCATGGTTGCAGACCTGGGGGACGTGAACGTCAATCTCTACAACCTCCAGGACAGCTGCCGCCTGATCCGAGAGGCCTATGAGAAGATCGTAGCAGCTGACTGTATCCCACTGACCTTGGGTAACAGGCCTCAAGGGCGAGCGTGGCCCTGGGCTGGGGGTTGTGTAGGGCCGGGCTGGAGGACCCTGTTTCCAGGTGGGGACAGGAGACACCGCATTTCTCACCATGTATGTTACTGCGGAGGTGGGAAGCACACATGTTTGCCCTAGCAGGACCCCAGGGATGGACTAGGGAGAGTCTAGGGACACGTGTGCCCAGGGCAGCATTTAGGGGCTCTGAAAACGTCCAGGGTAAGTGCGGCTCCCAGACTGTCCGGGACAGCAGCTACTGCCCCACCCCTCCTTAGGCCGTGGCTTCCTTTTTGGGTGTTGTTTTTGATTTCTGAAATATCACATTCAAATAGCGCTTATCTAGTTTACTGAGCTTTTGGGTGTTCCTCAAATTTTGCATCCCGGCTAAATTTACCTTTGAGCTCCTGATCCCAGACCTGGGAAAGCTGCCACCGGGACGCAGTTGTGACTTTTTAACCATTTCAAGGGCCTTGTCTTAGTGACCTTGAGCGACCAGCAAAGGGCCAAGTTCCCTCCTTGTTGGGGTCCGTGTCTCTCTGCAGGGTAGCTCCCCTGCCCTTCTCTACCTGGTCCCTGGCACTCACTGGCACATTTCTTTCTCTTCTGCTTCACACAGAGTTAAAATGACATGGATCTTTCACTAAATACCCAGTTTTGTTTTTGCCAAGCCAGAGAGTCTAGCCTGCAGAGTAGAGAGGTGAGGAGTGTGGTCTCTAGACAGCAAGATTTGAAATCAGTTCCACTGTGCACTGGCTTCATTCCTCATATAAAACAGAAGTAACACCGCCCCTGACTGTCCTGCCCCTATGTGGGGGGACCCGTAGTGGAAGTGTCCAGCATGGTGCCTGGAGTGTTTTACTTTTTTATTTTTAATGCATACAAGAGCTGGGGTGCAGGCCAGAGGTAGAGGGGGTGAGAGGATTCACCAGAGACAGTGTAGGGAGCAGACCAGGCTGATCTACTGAAATCCATTGCTAAGGGGAGAGAAGAGAGGTCTGCTGCACCATGTGGGTCAGCTCCCTGGCCGGGGATCGAGCTCTTGATAGGGCTGAGACTTTCATCCCTGTGCCACCAGGGAGGCCTGTGTTTTACTTCTTCATTCATTTTTGTACCTCACATCTTTTAAACATCAACCAGTGTTAGCTGTTGTTATTTTTAATTACTACCAATAGAAAAGCCTGTGCTGTCCACTCTGGTAGCCACTAGCTCCATGTGACTATTTTAATTAAAATTATTTAAATTACTAATTTATTAATTTAAGCACTCATTAAAATGCCATTACTCACTTGCTTGAACCACATTTCAGAAGCCACATGTGACTCATGGCTACTAAAGTGGCCAGTGGAAAAAAATAGGACATGGCCATGAGGAAATTTCTGTTGGACAGTGCTCTGGGCATTTTACCTGCAAGCCTTAGTTTATTTATTTGGCTTTTTAAAATGATGATGTCATCTCATACATCCATCCAGAGCCCATGTTCTCACTGCTGAACTAGATCTGACTTTAGCTGCGGTTATAGTTGTTCAATCTAACTGGATAGGTGGCAGAATTGGGCAAACTGGAAACTGTTCCATGTAATACATGGTCTCCTCAGCCTATCCACATTCCAGATGTTTCTTCATTGTCTTTGCAGGTGGAGACCACACAATTACATATCCCATATTGCAAGCAGTGGCAAAAAAGTAAGTCCCAAGTGTCTGGGCCCAGTGAGGTTTCGAAATGCAGGCGCCAGGGAGGAGAGTGAGTGGTTTGCTGTGGGTGGCATCCGGTAGCCTCTGCTGGCTCAGGTCATGGGGGTGATAGGAAATTCCCTGCTGAGTTGCTTCCCTGCATCAAAAGTAACACTGAGCTCCGGGTGTCTCTGTCAATCACCGCTGGAAGCCAAGACAATTTATCACTAACACCCTGGCACCCTCCTTTGCCCCAGAACTGCTCCAGAGGCACAATCAGCATTTTCAACTTCCCTGGGGTTTTGGAAGATGAACCCCTAGGGGGAACGTTAACCTCAGTTTTTGTTTTGCTTCTGAGACCAAATACAAATACTGAGAGATACAGTGAAGTATCACCGAGGACTAATTTTTTCCAGAAAGAGAATCTTTCTTGGAGAATGAGGCGATGGATTTCCCCGTAGCGGGGTCTACCAGAGATGGACTAACCGGTTAGCTTGAGAAAAGGCAGGGCCTAGGCTGGGGTCGCCCCAGAATTCAGATATGGGAAGGGCAATAGCCTTGGGGCTGGGTGTGCATGGCTTTCTCCCTTGGGCTTGGGTTGTGTGTTTATTTGGGGTGCTTGGTAGGGTTGCTAGGGAGGGTGGAGAGTCGGTGGGCTGGAAGCTGCTTCTTGGCGGCTCTGCATAATAAGTGCATCCTCGGCCCAGCTCACCGGAGCCGCTGCCCTGCCTTCTCATGCTCCCAGCCTTCTCCAGCTCTCAGCGAAGAGAATTGTGGGCGCTGGGGCGCAGGTGGTAGTTAAAGTGCACGGCAGTTATCTGCCAGACTCCTTGGAGTTTCCTGGTCTGAGCTGCCGAGTGACTTGGAGACTGAAACCCGCCGTGTGGCTGGCAGTTGACGCCCAGCTCCCCTCGCGGGCTGTGTGGTGTGGGTGGCCTGGTCCCGCGGGAGGCGGCCCTGAGCCACCCTGTCGTTTGCTGTCAGGCATGGCCCCGTGGGGCTGGTGCATGTGGATGCTCACATGGACACCGCCGACAAGGCCCTGGGCGAGAAGCTCTACCACGGGACGCCCTTCCGCCGCTGCGTGGATGAGGGGCTGCTGGACTGCAAGCGTGTGGTGCAGATCGGCATCAGGGGCTCTTCAGTGACCCTGGACCCCTACAGATACAGCCGGAGCCAGGTGACAGGGCCAGTGCCCTCCCCCTACTCCCGCCCCCAGCGCCTTCCTCTCCGTTGTTCCTCTCCGCTTGGGCACGATGGATCCAAATTTCCTCATCCGGTTCAGAAAGGGGATGAAAGGCTAAATTTGCCTCATGAGGAAGGGCCCTGTGGAGCAGAGAGGAGCGAGAATGTCAGTAAGGAGGCAGAGGAGCCTCTTGTCACCGGTGGGGACATGAGTCGGAGCAGGGGGCCCTCAGGTGTGGCTGGCTGACGAGGGCTGATGAGGTCCACGCCTTCTCGGTTCTCCACCTCAGCACTGGGCAAATGGCGCGTGTGCCCAGCGGGGACACCCAGCTTTCTGCTTTCGGAGCGTGCAAAGCCTGGTTTTCTGGAACGAGGTGTTTGGGGGGTGTTGGTCGGGGCTGCTGAGATTCTCACTCTTGCCTCAGAGATGCTTCCTCGGACCCCATCCATCGGTCAGCTGACTTGTTCCCGCCTCCTAGCCGGCCACTGTCCCTCCTTTCCCACCAGAGAAGTGGGGACAGTAGCAGCTTCCTCTCGGAGGCTGAGGGACAGTCCACTGGGCACGTGTGGAGCTCGGCCTGGGGTTGGTGCCCCGCGAATGCTTCCCCTTCGCCCCTGCTCATCTGCCCTCTCTGCAGGGGTTCCGGGTGGTGCTGGCTGAAGACTGCTGGATGAAGTCCCTGGTCCCTCTGATGGGGGAGGTGAGACAGCAGGTGGGGGGCAAACCCATGTACATCAGCTTTGATATTGACGGCCTGGACCCCGCCTACGCCCCAGGGACTGGCACGCCCGAAATCGCTGGTCTCACCCCGAGTCAGGTAAGGCGGGTCCACCTGTGACAGTTCCTGGGGGTGTGGATTCCTAACTCCTCACTTTTCTGGGACTCAAAGAGAGCCTTTGTGATGTTCAAAGCAGAGCACCTGGGTGATCTCAGCACTGCTGCGGTCGACTACTGCCTTGCTTAGGTGTGCTTGATGTTACTAGTAACTTTTTTTTTTTAAAGGATTTTATTTATTTATGTACACAGAACTCGAGTGAGAATCTCAGAGGTCCAGAGGTCCAGAGGGTAGTGAGAGGATTCACCAGAAATAGATGGGGGAGCAGAACAGGCAGATTGACAAAGCACATTGCTGAGGGGAGCAGCGGGGAGACAGGAGGGGTCTGCTGCGCCCTGTGGGTCACCTCTTGGGCTGGGGATCGAACTCGCACTGAAGTGGCCACAGCTTGGCTTAGCTTTGCAGTGCTGCGCTCCAACCCACTGTGCCACCAGGGAAGGCCGACGGTAACTTCTTCTAAATCTGGGGTGCAGTTCTTCATCTGGTCTTTCCGCCTCTGGTCCATCTGTGGTTGGCTCATGGGGACAACTGTAGAGCCTCCTCTTAGGAACAGTCAACTTCTCTTTCAGCTTTACATTTAAAAAGTGTGCGGTGGGATTAACAACTACTGAGAACATTCAGTTCTAGCAGCGCCCCAATACAGCTCCCGTGAGGCCCATGGAGGGGCAGGGTTGGAATGTGGTTTTAACTAGAAGGGAAGCTCAGGAGGGTGGCAGCTCGCGTGCACTGCTCTGTCCCTGGAGGACTGGGTCAGACAGACACAGACGCCATTCAAAGGTATTTCAGGGTGAGTGAAAACGACTTAAACCTCGTCTATTACCAGCCTCAGTTCCCATCGGATAAGTCTAAAACAGCTATTATCCCTCAACTCGTCATCCTTCTTTTTCACCTGTAAAGGCTTTCACACACCGACTCTCCTCCTGCCAACCGCTCCCAACTTGCAGCCACACCTGTGGATAGTTCTGGTGCGTCTCCATCCCGCTGCCCGCGTCCCTCTCGACCTAGTCATCCAGCCGCTGAGCTGTGTCCCACTGCGGAAGCCTCTGCGCATGCTCCAGGCTGCTAGCTATGCTTGGGTTGTCTTATGCTTTTCTTGAAGTCCTTCACGCTTGACCCAAAAATGACCGGCTTGCTTGTCTCCTCACACTGCGGAGCCCTGGGGAGCAGGGACTGTGTGCCCCATCATTGTCTTTGGGATCCCCGCCAGTGTGCCTGACATCAGGGAATGTTTATTGAGGCAAAGGAACAGTTTCCAAGCCAAGGGGTGGGCGTGGGTGAGGACTCATGGAGACGCCCCTGGTTGCCTTTCTTTGTAAATGATTATGACTTGAACTCGACAGGCTCTGGAGATCATCCGGGGTTGTCAAGGCCTGAACGTGGTGGGCTGTGACCTCGTGGAAGTCTCCCCGCTGTACGATCCTTCAGGTGAGTGAGCGAGAGCACCCGGGTCAGTAGGCAGCCACAGCTTAAATGGCATCCCTGCAGCTCTTGATACAAGGTGGCTGGATGGGCCGTTTGTACAGCTCGGGAGCCTGCCAAGAATGTCCTACAGTGAGGAAAATAAACCTGTTACTACTGCACGCCTTACCAACGCGAGCTAATTATCCCTAACAAAACCCCGGGGAGGTGGCTAAGTATTATTAGCTTGCCCACTAGTCAGCAGAGGAACCAGCCTGCCATTCAGTGACAGCGGGGCAGCTCGCTCGCCTGTGATGTTTCAATCAAAAGTGAGCTCTCAAAGTATAAATAATATTTAATAGCATTAAAAAGTGAGGAGCAAGCGAGTGTCGGAGAGGGACTGGAAGCAGACGCCATCCCACTCATTTTCACTTAGGAAAGTTGCCAGTTAGGCCTCACTCGCCTTGAGGATGGGGTAAGTGGCCAACACAATACACACCCAGAGCTTTTCCTTCAGGGGAATCTGTTCTCAGAGCAAACAACCTTCAAGTTTTAAAATAGTTTCTAAATGATGCTTGTTGGAACAGAGTGCCAGGGAATGTGAGTCGTGGGGAGCGGGGCCACCCTCCTAGGTTTTCAGGCCTCTGCAGGGGCCCACACCCCTGGAGGCCAAGGGGTCCCGGGAAGCCCAGCTTCCTGAGGCGCCGGGTGTGGTGCTGACACGGGTTTTTCCTTTGCAGGCAACACGGCCCTCCTGGCGGCCAACCTCCTGTTTGAGATGCTGTGTGCTCTCCCCAAGGTGAAAACCGTCTGAGCTGCCGTTCTCCAGGACAAAACACCAGATTGTGTGGAGGACAAGTTCTCAGGAAGAAGTTATGAGCAAGCAGCTGAATCCTTGAGTTTATGCCAATAAAACGTTCGCTCCAAATGTTGTTGGTGGCTGAGATCAGGGCTTCCTCCCGAGGAACCCTAATACGAGCAGCTCATACTTTTTTTTTTTTAAGATTTCTTTCTTTATGCATACAGAACTGGGGTACAGGCCAGAGGTGCAGAGGTGGTGAGAGGGTTCACCAGAGCAGAGTGGGGAGCAGAACAGCTAGATTGACTGAAACACACTGCTGAGGGGAGCAGTGGGCAAGACAGGAGAGGTCTGCTGCGTCCTCTGAGTCAGCTCTGGGACTGGAGCTTGAACTTGCACTGAAGCGGCTGCGGCCAGCTTGCAGTGCCACATCCTAATTTGTCGCGCCACCAGGGAGGGCCCCCTCAGCAGCTCATACTTCTAAGGGGCAGTAAACAAAAAACAAAAAAAGGTGTAGCACTTGGATTTGGCTTTCCCCTCTGGTGAAAGATGTTGGGGGGGGGGGG